TAAATATATATATATTTGCTAATATATAATATAGAAGGCATTTTAAGTTGTATTACAGGAATGTGTCTCTGTAGCTGCCCAGAGGTGGAGGCTGGGACTTCACCCATCACACAAGGACTAACATAAAGCATCTTCCATGATCAGAACCCATCAAAGGTTTTGTCTCATCAGACTTGAAGCTCTTCTCATTCTTTTGGGCACCCCAAGAGAAGCTAGTCCAGAGTTTTAGTCATAGCAGATGCCCAATAATTGGTGTTAAACCAGTTTAGATCAAGCATTTAATGACAGTAGGTAAAGTGATACTGTTCAAAGATTGGACCCCAGCTTTGGAAAAAATCTAACCTGTCTTGAGAAGGAAAAATGGGCAGTATAGGCCTGGGGTGGTTACTTACCAAGGCAGCGGACTTCAGAGCCACTCCAGAGCCCATTGGCCATGCACTCCCGCACCCTTGAGCCCACCAGTGTGTATCCGGAATTGCAGGAGAAGATGGCCGTTGCTCCGTAGTCGGACAGTGTTCCAATGCGGTGTCCGTTGGGGGGGATGGGGAGCTCTCCACAGGAAATGACTAAAAAGATCACAAGATGCTCAATGAACCAGCCCTGAGGGGAGGGACACGTGCTATGCCTGATTAGCCAGAATAATGACAAAAAAAGATCTGGTCAATCTTACTCTACTGGAACGCACTAACCAGAGCATGGGTCATGACACTGTATATGTGATGTTACACTGCACAGAAGTCCTCAACTGCAGGTGTCACCAGAAGCACGTGAGGTGCTTTTAAAATGCCAGGCTCCACTCTAGAGCCATGACTTGCAATTACTGGAGATAGGGCCCAAGCATGTGTATTTTGTGAAAACTCCTCAGATGATCTAGATGTGCACCCTGGTTAGGAACCACTGCACTAGAGAGATGGCAATTCTGTGGTATGCTCTTAAGTGCCCAGGGCAGACACTGGAAATCAATTTCAATTTCATTGTTCTTTTCTGCTGAGCCTAGCAGCAGCCTCACATTCCTTCTCAACACCACTGCAGACAGCCACTAACTAGCTGGCCTATGAGATGAGGCCCAGTTGTCAAGGCTGCATTAAAATGTGAGCAGCTTCATTGAATGGTGTTCTTACACACTCGTGACTTCTTTCACTCTGCTGTATACGTGGTTATATGCCACGGTGGAGTCTGTACTATGATGCATTAACACAACAGTGTCTTGAGTTATAGGTATGAGACAATACCACTCCTTCTCCCACTCAGTCCCAAATTTCCCGTTTCTCATTGACAAGCTATCTCCTTCTACCCCTTTATAATCATTTACTTCCTCTATGCCACTCTTACTGATTAATATTATGAGGGTTGTAGTGGATGCTGTGGTGTGCCACCCAGATCTCCCTTTGGAACCTATGGTACCAGGTATATGGTAGGAACCTCATGAATGTTGAATAAATGAATTAGTATATGTTTGTCTAGAGAAAGGCAGCTTTTAATAAGATGCCAAGATGCCAAGAAGTACTTCCTCAAAGGAGAAGGCATTTTCCCAGATTCTAATTCTAAGTAAGTGTCCAAAAGAGATAAACTGCAATTCCAGGTGATAGTCCTCTTCTCCCTGTCTGTCGTGCTTTACCCCACATATGAGACAGTTCAGGGTTGGAGGCACTGTGACCAACTTGCCCACCCTCCCCTCCTGGGCTTACTTTGGCAGGTGGGCAGAGACTCCCCAAGGCTCCATCTGCCATTGGCCTGACAGCGGATGACCCTTTGGCCAGTATAGTAGTAGCCAGGGTCACAGATGAGCATCAGCTGGGCCTGGAACTGGTACTGTGTCTCAAAGATGAGCCTCCACCGTCCATGTTCCACACTGATACTGCTGATGTCGGGACAGGTCACAGCTGGAGAAACAAGGGGAGGAAGGAGGATTAATTAATTAATTATGGAAGACACTGGCAAAAGCCCAGAGCTGCAGACTGGGAGACCTTAATGCAGTAATGACGAATTCAAACACTTTCAGTCCCTAGGCAGGTTTGGTAAGTGAATGGCGGGGGCGGAATATGGCAAACTGGGGCGTGCAGGTCCTGCAGAAAAAGGGAGGCGGCACTCAGTCAACACTGATTGTTGGATGTAAGACTGAAGGTTCCATTTGGTTGGATTTTCATTTTTCAAGAGAAGACAGAAATCTAGATATTTATGTAAAATTGCCCGATTTTAAAATGTTGGGGAGTAATTCATAATCTGAAAAAAACACAGTGTAGATTCCCATACCCCCACATCTTTGGAATGGTTATGGTCCATTAGGCTTGTGTGACCTTGGTCTTCAAGTTGAACTCTAGCTCTGTCAGTTTAGAGTTTTATGATTAAGGGACATTCATGCAAACTTTCTGAACTACAGTTTCTCCATCTAAAAGGGAATTGATCGGATCATTCCTAAGTTCTATGATGGTTTATGGAAACATCTCAGGGCACAGTGGTCTATCAGTGCTTTGAGACTTTTTAACTGGAACACCAGTGGGCAGAGGACACCACTCACCTGCCTCCTCTCCTTGAATCCCTCAGCCTCCATGCATGTGTTTTTCTCATTACTGGGCCTTTTGCTCACTCCTTGTAGGAATCTTTTCAGCTGCTCACCCAGCCCCTCCTTACACCACCCTCTAACACCCGAGGACTCACCGACACATTGTGGGGGGATGTTGTTGTTGCTCCACAGGCCTGTCTCCAGACACTCTGCTGTAGCCTCAGCCCCTGCCTGGAGGTGGAAGCCTTCACTGCAGCTGTACACAGCCTTGGTCCCCACCGTGTACTCCTTTCCAAACACCATTCCATTCTTGGGGGCCTCAGGAATCCCACAGGAAAGAGCTGACCAAGGGGAAAAATATGTCATGAGGATTTCTGGTTCAAGATAGTGGTCTGAGAACTTACTTTTTTTCTTTCCTCTCCCTCAAGACTTCAATAAAATTATAGTAAATAACAAATAAAAGGAAAAAACCTCATAACAAAAAAGAAAATGGGAGAATAACCAGTAGATGAGAGATTTAAAAAAAAATATTTTTGAAGATGGAAAGCAGACAGATGCCCCAGCCCAAAATATATGGGAGGGGTTACAGAGTGAGACCAGTTCTCCTCTATCCCTTCCCACAAATACAGTGTAGTGGCAGTAGGCATACACTTTCTAAACAAAATACAGAGGGTTATTCTTTCTCATTTACAGAGGAAAAAAACCAACTCCCTTGAGAGAATTAGAGCTGGTAGGGTAGGAGCTGTCATCTCAGAGTAAAGCTCCTTTAATTCTAGGACTTAAGGGCTCTCAGTATAAAGGCTGCCTCTCTACCTGCTCATGTCTGCTGCATACTCAACTCAGCTTCTCATTCATGAGAAAGACATAGTGGGTAAAAATATCTGTATATAACAACAACAAAGGTAACCTACATCTGCTGCCTGGAAAAATCAACCTAGTCTTTTCTTTTTAAATATGAACAATCAAGGATCACTACACATATGAAGAAAATCAGCATCATGAAAGAGATAAAATAAATAGAAAGAACTCTCCTCAGGAAACAGAAAATACATAATTTTAAAACTTCTGATTAGTAGTTTATTGAGGCAGTCAAGGTGACATATTGCATTCACAAAATGAGAACGGAGTGCTTAGAAAAAGAAAAAAGAACAGGAAGAGCTGCTTTAAATTAGAAATACAAATGCCAAAATAAGCATTGAATAGAAGGGCTGGAGATTAAAAGTAAAGGAAAATTTCCAGAATATAGACCAAAAACAAAAACTAAAGAAAACCCCCAAAACCAAAACAAAAGCCTCCCCAAACCCTCTCCTCCCCCTACACCCCCCAAAAAAACTATCAACATTGGCTAACAATCATGGCTGGTGCTTCTAAAATTTCAAGACTCAAGAAAAGGCATAGGGATAGGGCTGTATTATAATGTGGGGAAAGGAGGATTGTCCAGAGTTGAGGGGTTGGGATACCAAGATGGAGGAAGGATTCAAAGGCCAGACATGGGAGCAAAAGAGGATAAGGAAAACAGAAGACATGATAAAATAAGGAAAATGATATTCTTCTGATATCTAAACAGCAAGCCTTTGAGCTCAACCAACTGCCTTGCTTCCTTGAACTCCTTGGGAAAAAAAAAAAAATACTTAGAATCCTATTGGCATTTTGCCTGCAGAGTCAATCTGGATAAAACAGGAGAAGGAAATGGGCAGCAGGCACTTCTCACTGGTCCTGGCCTGGCCCCTCTCTTGTGGATAACTAAGAGGACAGGGGACAGTCTCCCAGCTTGAGAGACTAGAAGCTTGAGCCTCATGATTTCCATGCCAAACACAGTCCTCCAAACCCAGAGGCACTTGAGGAACATTTTCTGTGGGTAGGAGAGAAGGGAGTACAGTCATAAAGTATTTGAGGCCTGTGCTGAGAGGAGATCTCTAAGGGAAAGACTATATACAGTGGAAGAATGGGTAGGGGTGGAGCAGGGAGGGAGGGAAAGATAAAGGAGGCATGGAATCAGACAGTGTGAGCCTCTGTGGAGATATATTTGGAGGTAGAAAAGTAATGGTTTGGAAGAAGCAATAGGAAATTGGAAATTGGAAGAATTCCAGGCCCTTCCTGGCTCTGTGAATGCAGGAAATGCGGGGATTAATACTCTCCCCCTGGTGGCACAGTGGTTGAGTGCTCAGCTGCTAACTGAAAGTTCGGCGGTTTGAATCCACCAGCTGCTCTGAGGGAGACCAATGTGGCAATCTGCTTCCTTAAAGATTACAGCCTTGGAAAACCTATTGGGCAGTTCTATTCTGTTTGAGAGGGTTGTCGCTATGGGTTGGAATCGACTCCACGGCAATGGGTTTGTTAGTACTTGAAAGGCCCACAGCATATATGTTCTCAGGGGAGAGCCATAGTCTCCATGGAGGGAGGAAGTGAAGAGAGCCTTCTGGGTGGTGACCAAGGACATATACTTGTTGGCCATGGAACTAGGATTACAGAGAGCACAGAAGAGACATCAGTGGGAGGCTGGCGGAGGGGACAGGATGAAGAAACACACAGCAGTATTGGGATGAGTGGACAGAAGCCTAACAGGGCTTAATTTTGGGTGATGATGAAAGATAACAGGGATGAGAGGCACATAGGTCCCAACTGCAGATCTGGAATAAAGTGATGTAGAGGAGTTGATGTAGTTAGAGATGCAAAGACTGAAGCCAAATGACATGTGGTATTCGTGGACAGTCTCTGTGGCCTTTGCTTAGGGTTTCAAGTAGAATATTAATACACATTGTTTCTGTTCTTTGAGAAGATTGTGAGGATGAGAGATGATAGGTGCCATTAAAAAATACTTTACCACCCTGGGAACCAATGAAAAATAAAATGAAACAACAGTGTGATTTTCTGTTTTTGTTCATACAGATGGCAAAGGGCTTCTTTTTTTTTTCAGTGTAATACACTTTGATGAGACTGTGAGAGAAAAGACAACTTTTACTTGCTGCTAGTGGAAATATAAATGAGGACAAACTTTTAGAAGGGCCATGTGACCATGGGTATCAAACCCCATAAGTTTTGCATAAGTTATGCAAACAAATCAGTCTTGGAGGAAGCACAAACAGAACGCTCCTGAGAAGCAAGGATGTGAGACTCCATCTTGCTTACTTCGGACACGTCATCGGGAGGAACCAATCGCTGGAGAAGGACGTGCATGGGAGAGGTTCAGTGAAAAAGAGGGAGACTCAATGAGATAGATCAACACAATGGCTGCAACAATGGGCTCAAACAGCAATGATTATGAGGATGGCGGAGGACAGGGCAATGTGTTCTTCTGTTGTATATAAGATTGCTATGAGTTGTAGCCAACTCAACGGCACTTAACAACAAATGACAAATGATTCCACAAGCTCATTTCTGGGAATTTATTTTAAGGAAATCAGTATGCATGTTCATAAAGATGGAATTATAAGGATTTTAACAGCAGCGTTGTCTACAGCAGCAAAAAACAGAGAAACATCTACATGACCGACAACAGGATGATACCTGAATAAATGACTGTCTTCTCATACCTGCTGTACAAACACTGAAATTAATGATGAGGAACTTTATTGAATTACATGAAAGATAAGAGCTTTGTATACTAATGATCCCATTAGGAAACAATATATAAAAGACAGAAGGAAATGTGCCAAAATGCTAACAGTGGGACTCTCATGTGATGGGAGTATAGGTCATTTTCACTTTTCCTTTGCATTATCATGGTTTCTTCAGCTTTCTAGTCTGAATGCACATTAAACCAGCTGCTCTTGAGTTGATTCTGACTCAAGGCAACCCCACGTGTGTCAGAGTAAAACTGTGCTCCATAGAGTTTTCAATGGCTGATTTTTTGGAAGTAGGTCACCAGGCCTTTCTTCTGAAGCACCTCTGGGTAGACTTGAACCTCCAACCTTACTATTAGCAGCTGAGCATGTTAATTGTCTGCAATATACTCTGAATGTATATTACTTTAAAGAAAAAAGCCCATCAGTTATAGAAGGTAATGCATGCAAACTGCCTGGTATATAGCAGGTGCTTGATCACTGATGACTGTAATTATGGTGATGATGGTCTCAGCCCTGGTTCTCTCTGCTCCCTCACCTCCTCGGACCCGGAGTGTCAGCCAGCCCAAATTGCTTTGCGTAGATTATGATCTCTCCAGATTCTATGCCTTTGCACACACTCTTCTTGTTGCTAGAATACTTTCCTTGCCAGTGCCTGGCATGAAAACCCCTCATCCAGAAGGTCCAAGTCCAAGCATCCTGCTCTGGGAGCGTTCTCTGGCTGCCCAGAAGGAGGCAGGTCTGTTCTGAGCTCTGGGTTCCCACACTCTGTTCATATCATACTCCTGTTACAGCACTCGCTTACTCTGTTGTCGTGCATTTATCTGATTATACATCTGTCTCCTCCACTGGTCTGAGACCAAGTTTTATGCATATGTATATTCTGAGGGCTTGAAATATTAGGGATCCTCAATAAATGTTTGCTGAAAGAATGAGTCAATTATCAATTAGGAAACCCATATTTGGAAGTGATCGGTGCTGGGACGAGCTCAAGATGTGAGTAGGATCCAGAGCCACCCTGCCATTCCCTCCCCATCTGCTGCTCACCTTGACAGAGAGGAATGGCCTCGCTCCACAGGTAGTAACCCTGGGGGTGGCGGGTACAAATGGCCATGCTGTGTCCCACCAAGCGGTAGCCAGTGTTGCAGCTGAAGTGGATGGAGCCTCCAGGCTGGGTGGTGGTCCGGCCCAGGATGAAACCGTGGAGCGGAGCCCTGGGCAGGCTGCAGTAAGGGGCTAAACAACAAGATGAGGCTAAGGGAACCAAGTACGCGTAGGAAGACAGACCTGTTCTCTCATGCACGCCCCTTACTCTCACTCTCCCTGGAAAGTCAGGGCCTGTCTTCCCTGTGCCAGGCCCAGTGCTCGTTAGAAAGGTCTAAGCGGTTGGTATTGAAAAACAGCCAGTCAGTTTAGTAAGGACAAAATGAAACAAAAGAAAATAAAAACCAACTACATCAAGAATGGGATCCCCTTTGCAGCTTGAAGGCAGCATTGGTTGTCCAGCTAAGTTCAGGCTCTCGAATTCATTCAGATCCCAAACAGATGGGACATAGGTACCTTAAGGACCATCAACGCCAACGTTTCTTTTTCATCATTAGGAAAATGAGGACTGAAGAGTTTCAGTTACTTGTCTAATCATCATACCGCTAGTTAGGCACAGAGCTGATCACTGAACCTGGGGCATCTGGTCATGATGCCATCCTTCCTCTCATGTGCACAGGAGGAAAGGAGAGTTTGGATCGACTCTGCAGAGAAATGAACTCTGAGATAGTAAAGATCCATTCCTCCCAGGCTCCCCTCAGCTTCATCTGGTTTGCTTCTCCTTGGAAGCCACTGCCAACGGTGCCTTAAAACTGGTCAAATGGGTTGGTCTTGGCAGCAGATGACTGATGAGAAGAGATGCACAGAGACAAGTGGGACTTCAGGCAGGTTATAATTGACATCTCTTCCAACCAATATTCTTTAAAAATCTGTCCAACACTTCTTTGAAATGCAGACCAAATGCAGCCAAGGGAAAGAGTACTGAGCAGAATGCTAGTGGCTCTTCAGTCTCTTCCCATGCTCTTAAGCAATGCATTTCTGCCTTCAAGCTTGCAAAGCCTAGCCATCAGTTCATTGGACTCACCCTCCTTCAAAGTGGACATCAAGTCACTTATCAAGTTTTCTTTCCAACCACAGATAGTAGTTCCCATGTAAATTTTATTTTCTCTATTCCATTTCATTTCCAGTGATATTTTCATGCTCTTTAGAGACAGCTGTCCTTGTCAGCATTTTGGCTTACCCTGACCATGAGATATGACTTGTAGAGCAGAAGAGAGGCTCATGGACTTAAAATATAGTCCATCCTTTGCTGCCTACCTAACATTTGCCACCTGGAGATCCATGTCTTAGGATTTTTCAGTTTTAAAGATCATTTGTTAACATTTTAATAGTGTTAAGGATAGGATCATCTTTAGGCATTAATAAACCATATACAACAGTTAAACTTATCCAAAAGACACAAGGTGGAAGTATGAGAAGCAGGAGAGAGGGAGGAGGTAAAAAGTGGGGAAAGGAATAGAATAAGGGGAGATAGGAAAATGACAGAAGGCATTGGTGCAGCTTTGGGTGAGAGATTTAGAGGAGGAGAAAGGCTGCCCAATCCCCATGGACGAGCTCTGCCACCTTGACCAGGAGATGGTCCAGGACTTATTTGGGAGTTTTGAGTGAGAAAGGTAGGGAGCTCCGAGGCCGTAGCTCTTCTCATGAGTCCTTGTGTTTTACTCACCTGAATACCGAATCTTAAAACCCTTCCGATTGTAGGCGTGGTCAGATGACCAGCGCAGGTACACAGAGTTGCTTGAGCTGGTGACAATCAAGGGTGCTGAGTAATTCCCACTGAGGGCTTTCAGCAGAGGACTTTGTCCTGAGGGACCTGGTGTGAGAAGGACACAGGATTACAGACTATCACAGATGTCAAAGATATCAGATTAGACCACTTGCTGTCGAGTCGATTTCAACTCATGGCGACCCATGTATGACAGAGTAGAACTGTGCTCCATAAGTTTTCAATGACTGATTTTTTGAAAGTAGATCACCACGGCTTTCTTCCGAGGTACCTCTGTGTGAACTCCGATCGCCTACCTTTCAGCTGGTGGCCAAGCATGTTAACTGTATGCCCCACCCAGAGACTCATTTTTAATATAACCATCTGCTATTTTTTTTCCCTTCCTCAAGTGATAACTCAAGGTCGATCCAGAGCAACTCAGTGTAAAATGGAAGAGCTACATCTTGGATCAGCCTCAAGTGGGTCCAGAGAAGCAAGATGAACAAGTAAGCTATGGTCCAGACCCTCTTGTAACCTGCCATGTTGCATTGATACTTCTCCATATCTCACACCTTTGTCCTCATGAGGGTGAGGGATGGATGTTCCTTATGACCAGCTGACGGATGAGGAGAAAGCTGGAGTTAGGTTCACAGAAGGGTTGGCTTTGTATGTGGATGCAAGCCAGAAATGGCCTCCTACTGCACTATATCCCCACTTGGGCATGGTCCTGTAAGACAGTGGTGAAAAGATATCCTCCCAATGGGCAGAGCTTTGGGCAGTGCATTTGGTCATTTGGTTTGTGTGGAGTAGAAAGTGGCCTGAGGTAAGAGTGTACTGGGCCTCATAGGCAGTGGTAAACAGCTAAGGTTAGCCAGGGGCCTGGAATGAGCAAGGTTGAAAGATCAGGACAAGAAGCTCTGAAGAAGAAACATGTGGATGGACCTATGTAAGTGGGCACCAGGTATGAGAATCTTGGTATTGCACATCCATGCTCTCCAGAGAGCACTGACTGCAGAAGAAGTTCTAAACAGCCAAGTGAATACTATGACTCAGCCAGCAGGTGTCAGCCAGCCTCAGTCACTGGCCACCCCAGAGCTTTCACAATGTGCTCCTGGACAGAGTAGCCTCATGGATGGAGTAGCCACGGTGGCAGGCGAGACTATGCATGGGTTCAGCCCAGGTCTCAGTGATGCCTATTGCCTGCCATGCACACATGGGTCACAATGGCAAGTGCCCACACTTTCATGTCAGTGGGTTCTGGGTTCCAACTCATGTCCTTTTAGTCTTTTCTCAGATCATACCTTCTCATTGAGCCCTACCCTGACCACTCTATTTAATACTGCTACTTGCACCCCACCCTGGCACTCCTAATTACCTTCTTTTTTTTTTTCCTGTAACACCTATCACCTTCTTACATACTATCTAATCTACACGTTTATTTATGCTGATTGTTTATTGTCTGCCTCACTTTGCTATAATGTAAGCATTATGTTCCTTGAAAGCCGGAATCTTTATTTTATTCACTGATGTGTCCTAACCACTTAAAGTGGAGTCTGGCACATGGTACCCAAACCAAACCCATTGTCATCCAGTCGATTCCTACTCTTGAGGACCCCATGTATTACAGAGCAGAACTGCTCCATAGGGTTTTCTTGTTTGTAGTCTTTATGGAGGTAGCTAGCAAGGCCTTTCTTCTGAAGAGTGGCTGGGTGGGTTCGAGCTGCCAATCTTTAGGTTAGTAGACAAGTGCAAACAGTTTGTGCCACCCAGGGACCTTCTAACAGGTGCACAGTAAGTGTTTATTGAGTGAATTAGTGAAACTTGGCATGGCTACTTCTTGGCAATGTAATCTTGGGTAAGTAAGTTACTTACCTTCTCTGAGCCTAGGTTTCAACTATATAATGGACAATGATAAAGGGTGGTTGCAAGCATTAAATGAGAGAACACCATCAAAATGCCTGCTCTATGGCTAGGTGCTCAGGTCATGTCTACTCACTTTTAGTAAGGATGCTGGCCATGACTGATGCTGGAGTGTTTTCCCTGATCAGAGAGAGCATCTCTAATCACCAAAGAGGATTGGACTTAGTAAAGGGGATGAGGTGTGTTCCTCTCTCTGCTCCACAGGATTCCTGTGGTTACTTACCATCAAAGATTTCAAACTCGTCATACTGCTTCTCGCTGAGGAAGTACTCCACTGTGAGGGAGATGTTATAGTCTGGCTCCACTCTCACTAGCCAAGAGCAGGTCTGGAACTGGGGATAGCTTCCGGGGTAGCTCTGACTCAGGATCACGCCTGTGGAGTCTGTCAGAAGCTCATTCGTTGGGCAGTGCACTTGGAGAAAGAAAGAAAGAGACAGAAGGTATATGAAACGGAGATGGAAGTAGAGCAAACACCATATGCTTTTGCCTGGCGCAAAAGACAACTACTGGAAAACCAGTGTTTGAGCACATCCAAACAAGACACCAAAACCCATCATTATACTGCTCCATGGTATGAGGTGACCTCAGATTCTGTGCCAACATTACTGTAAAGCTGGGACTCAGGCCTGGCCAGTTGGTTGGAATCACATCCTAGCTCAGATGTGGGCATTGGAGTAGGTGGGGATGTACGTAGATACAGACAACAGTGAAGTATCTCCAAATCCAAGAGTTCATCTATATAATGGGTCTGATTTATAGAAAGATATTATCGGGCAGAGGTTAAACACATGGAGTTTATTTTTTATATTTTAAAAATTTATATAACAAAAGGTTTGCAGTCTTAGCCATTTTTTACTGTACAATTAATTACATTCACCCTGTTGTGTTGTATCACCACTATCCATTTCCAAAAATTTTTACATTACCTCAAGCTGAAACTCAGTACCCCTTCAGCAATAACTCCTATCATCTCCTTCCCCCAGTCCCTGGTAGCCACTATTAAACTTTTGTCTCTATGCCTTTGCCATTTCTAGATACTTCATATAAGTGGGATCCTACAATATTTGTCCTTTTGTATCTGACTAATTTCACTCAGCATAGTGCTTTTAAGATTCACCCATTTTGTAGCATGTATTAGAATTTCATTTCTTTTTATGGCTCAATAATATTCCATTATATGTATATGCCACATTTTATTTAACCATTCTTCTGCTGATGGACACTTGGGTTGTTTCTACCTTTTAGCTATTGTGAATGATGCTTAAGAACATGGAATTTTGAGTTAAACATTTCTAGTATAGCTTCCTCTGTCACTTACTATCTATGTGTGTGTTTTTTTTAATTGTGATAAATACATATGTAACAAAACATTTGCCATTTCAACATTTTCTTACAGGTACCATTCAGTGACATTAATTACAGACATCATGCTGCGCAACCATTACCAGTGTCTGTTTCCAAATTTTTCCATCACCCTTGACAGAAACTTATGTGGTTTTGAACAAATTATTTCCTCTCTGTGTGATGGCTTCTTCTTCTCCAACACAGAGAGATAACATCTATTTTACAGAGCTGTTGTATTATATGAAATAATATATGTAAAGCATGCAGCATAGTGCACATGTAAGTCCTCAATAAACGGTACAACATAGAGTTACCATAAGACCCAGCAATTCCACTCCTGGGTACATACCCGAGATAAATGAAAACATATGTTCACACAAAAACTTGTACACTAATGTTCATCACAGCACTATTCATAATAGCCAAAAAGTGGAAATCACCAAAATGTCCATCTACTGATGAGTGGAATAAACAAAAGGTGGTATATTCATACTATAGAATATTATTTGGCAATAAAAAGGAGTGAAGTACTGATACATGCTACAACGTGAATGATCCTAGAAAATCTAAACTAAGTGAAAGAAGCCAGTCATAAAAGGCCACACATTGTATGATTCCATTTACAGGAAATTTCCAGAACAGTAAATCCACAGAGACAGAACTTAGATTAGTGGTTGCTTAGGACTAGGGGGTGGACAGATTGGAAGGAAATGGACATTGACTGGTAATGGGTAGTCGGTTTCTTCTTGGGGTGGTGAAAATGCTCTAAGATTTATTGTGATGATGGTTCCACAACTCCGTGATTACAATAAAAACCACTGGATTATACACTTTAAACGGGTGAATTACATGGAATGTAAATTATATTGTCATAAAACTGTTATTAAAAAAAGGGAGGCTGGACAACATGGTGCTACAGTCAGAAGCACCATGCCGTCCCTCCACAGCAAAGGTCCGAAAAACTGAGTCAAACAGAGTCACACGTCAGTCCTGAAACTCTAAGCATCAAAAGAAGAGATAAGAACTCAGCTAAGCACCGAATGGAATAAGAAACTGACTGAGAACAGACAGCTAGGAGAAATACATGCAAAGGTCCCATATCAGCTACCTCAGCACAGATCCACCATCTTGGACTCCTATTGGAGATTGGCGAACAGGGGGTATGAGAAAGCAGCTTCACGGAGCTTCCAGCAGGAGACAGAACAACCGGTAACCAAAGATATAAGAAAAAAGAAAAGGCAGCCAAGAATAATATATCCTGCAAAACTCTCATTCAAATATGATGGTGAAATTAGGTCATTTCCAGATAAACAGAAATTAAGGGACTATGTAAAAACC